AGTCGTGGCCAGCCAGGCAGACAGGGCCTCTTGGGAAGTGCTGAGGCTTATGGACTTTAGCCTCAGGCCCAGGAGAAAACCGAGGATTTTCAGGGAGAAAGATGGTAATCTCATCTGGTTTTTCTACAAAGTTCACTGTGACTGCAAGCTGGAGAATGGCTTGAGGAGAGGGTACAAGGCTTCTGAGGTATAAATTAGGATGGTGCTATGTGGCAGCCAAGTCAAAACATGAAACATAATCAGAATGCAGTTTTAATGTGCTTGGTGACTGAAAAATTGGTATGTGTTAAAGGTGACACCCAGGTTTCTGTCATGAGCAAATGGTGCTATATTCTGAAATGTGATTCCACACTGTTTTGTTATTTCTGGCTCCATAACTTTTGTTAAACTGCATTTTGTAGTTTATTGTTAAAATGTAATCCCTTAGACCATTTTAAAATTAAACCCAACCTCGCTGGGTGCAGTGGTGCACACCTGTAATCCCAGCTGCCCAGGAGACCGAAGCAGGAGGATCTCAAGTCCCAGCCCAGTGTGGGCTGAAGAGTGCAGAGACAGCCTGGACTACATGGTAAGAGCCTGTTAATAAATAAAAATAAATAAATAACCTTAAAGCACATCTACCAGCTAGGTGTTGTGGTGCATACCTACAATCCCACCACTTGGGAGGCTGAGACAGGAAGATCGTAAGTTTGAGGCCAGCATGGGCTACTAGTGAGTTCAAGACCAGCCTGAACTACATAGCATGAGCCTGTCTCAAAAAACAAAACAAACAATATCTACCAAATAATGTCCAGTGCAAAGTCAAGGTAAGGATGATTTCACTGCACAGTTGTAAGTGTCTGGGCCATAGAGGCCACACCCTTGCAAGGACATGCTCTAAGTGAGACCAAGTTTAAAGCCAGGCTCTTCTCATGTTTCTAACAAATTCCTCTGAATAAATCCAAGAACGAAATGAGCATGGTGGCGCACACCTGTAATCCCAGCACTTGGGAGGCTGAGATAGGGAGATCGCCATGAGTTTGAGGTCAGCATGGGTTACATAGTGAATTCAAGGTCAGTCTGAATTACATGTCGAGACCCTGTCTCACAGACAAAAATCAAACCAAATACCAAATACAAAAACAGCGACACAGCAACAAGTCTGGGTATAGACATTCTACTTAAAGCTAGAGTGTGCGAAGGCAGAGTCTGTCTCCTAGCACGTCATGGGATCCTGGACATGGCTGATCACGACTGGCTGGGAAACTGAAAAAAACGTTTCCACACCTGTGACCCAAACCTGCAGGAATGACCTGGCTAGACTTTAAAGGTGCAGCCTTGAAATGTTTTCTAGAACTGCTGAGTGCAAAAACTCAATTCTGTACCTTTCCTTATCCCTCTCCCAAATAAACTAGGATAAACACTAATTCTCCAAACAAGGTAGCTGGCAAAAGAGCTGAGAATCCTCTGTGAAAACAACTTTAAAGATATCAGGTGTTTTGTTTTGTTTTTGCTGTTATGATAACAGCCCAAGAAATACAGTACGAGGTTTTTCTTCTAACAATTAATTGTTATAAAACAAAATTTCTCAGGATATGCACAATGCTATATTGGAGGAGGGCTATAAAGTAGTTTATACATTCAATCTTTATTTGGTAGAGTACCAGATCTTAAAAGATCACAAGGTTTAGCCAGGCACAGTGGCGCACACCTGTAATCCTAGCACTTGAGAGTCTGAGGCAGGAGGACTGCCATGAGCTCGAGGCCAGCCTGGGCTACATAGTGAGTTCAAGGTCAGCCTAAACTGCATAGCGAGACCCTGTCTCCAAAAAAAAAAAAAAAAAGAATCACAAGGTTTTAAATGGTTTTGAAGTTTATTTTTAAAAAATCACTTGGTACCCTATCAAGTGTAACTGCTGCCTTGTTGGTCCTGAAGTGGAATTAACAGCTAAGAAAACAGAGAATGCGCCATAACTAAGCAAGATGTAACTACACTTAATGTTACCCTTTCTATTAGTTATCTGAATTTATTGTTCATTATGATTTACAAAAAAAAAACCAGAAAACAGCTTTCTACTTAAGCATCTGTTCAGTTTTATTTAAAAGAAAAAAGTATCAAAAAAAAAGAAAAAAGTATCAAGATGAAGCACAGTGTACCCTGTAAGTCTGTCGCTGATCTAGATGCTGGGACCTGGTAGTAAACAACACAGAAAATAAACACACTGGGGACTGAGGATATAGCTCACTGGCATAAGCGCCTGCCTGGCAAGCACAGGGTAGTGAGTTCAATCCCCGGTACCGCAAAAAAAAAAAGAAAAGAAAAGAAACACATTAACCTACGTTAAATAAGGTCCTTGCAGGTCTTCAGTGGGACCTGGTATAGGTGGGAGGGCAGGCGGAAGAGGCTCCTCTGACAAAGCTGACAGAGCAAAGCAAGAGAAGGCAGACAGGGAAGAGTGGAGATGAAGTGCTGGCAAGCGTAAATACGCAGACAACCGACACTCACCAGTCAGAGAGACAGAAAGCAAGCTGCCATGGCTGCCTGTGATGAGGGCGTGAGGGCATGGAGCAAGGCAACGCTAAGAAGGCCAAACCAGAAAAGATCCGTCTGGTTGCAGTGGGAAGCTGGCAGAGGGCTTTTAAGCTGATTAGGGAACCAACCTACTTTCATTTCTGGCTTAAATAAATTTGTATTAAATTTATATTTTCAAAAACTAAGCTAGGTGTGGTAGTGCATGCCTGAAATGCCCACACACTAGGACAATGAGGCAGAAGGATCACAAGTTCAAGCCCAGCCTGGGCAACTTAGTGACTTAGCAAGACTGTGTCTTAAAATGAAACAATAAAAAGGGCTGGGGGTGTAACTCAGTGTAGAAGTTCTAGGTTCAATCCCTAATATGGAAAACAGAAAAATTACATACAAAAACCCCCAAACAGAAAGTGTTCTGTTGAATGGACTGTCTATTTCTAAACCAAATTCTAAGGGCCATTCATTGTACTGGACATTCTACACCGCTCTACAGAAAACACTTGTTCATATCTAAACATACTTCTAAACGCCTAACAAGAAAAATAAAAATCCTGAAAGATCTCAGCATACCATTCAGTAAATAAAAGTTTTAAAAGGAAATAGCAGAGGATAACTTTTAACAGATGTTAGAGCTGGGCATGCTGGTGCTGCCTGTAATCCCCACATTTGGGGACTGAGGGAGGAGGACCGCCACAAGTTCAAGACCAACATGGAGCCGGGAGTGGTGGCACACGCCTGTAATCCCAGCACTCGGGAGGCTGAGGCAGAGGGATCATTGCGAGTTCGAGACCAGCCTGGACTACAAAGTGAGCTCCAGGCCAGCCTGAACTGCATAGCGAGACCCTGTCTCAAAAAGACAAAAAAAAACAACAAAAAAGACCAACATGGACTACATAGAGAGACCTTGTCTCAAAAAATGAAAACAAAGCCAAAGCAAAACAAAAAGGTGTTAGGACTAACTCCGTGGGCATGGAAGTATTAAAATTCCTGTAGGAAAATGTATAGTGGTAGAACCTGACTCCTATAATCTTTCTAACAAAAGGGAGAATCAAACAAAATACTATCAGGTAGCTCTGGTTTAAATAGTTATTTTCCACTTGATTATATATCAAGCAGCAACTGAATTTTTAACACAACTATAATTGCTAATCGAAAGGCCTATTTTTCAACCAAAATGATGTGAATTAGTCTGCTTACAACACTGAGCTCCACTCAAATACTCTGCCCTCCTTGCTCCCGAGCTGTGCTCGCCTTGTCCAGTGTTCTGTCCCCAGCTGCCAAGGCTTTAACCCTGGCCTTCACTTCAGCCTTATGTATCTACTCTTGGGGTGCTGTATTTCTGCAGACTTTCACACTAATCTCGTTTCCACCCTAGCCTTGAGCCTACTATTTCCAATCCTGTGCATGAGATTTCCAACTCATCTGGCCCACTGAAATCATTTGTCCTAGGACCACACTCCTCCTCTAGTCAATCGCTCTTCCAAACTCTGCTGGTTTATGACACTGCCCCAGGTGCCAGGCTCAAAAACCACACAGCCGTGGTTTCTGGACAACTAGCTAGCTATACCCTAAAAGGGAAAAGAAAGACTTACTGGGTGCTTGCTATCAGACAGAGCACTGCACTCAGCTCATTTAATCCTCAGAGTAATACAGTGAAGATACACTCACTTTATAGATGCGGAAAGGTTAAACAACTGTGCTCAGGTGTCTGTGAAGTAGTAAATGTAGCAATGGCAGGTGGGCCACCACCAAAAACCAGGGATTCTGGCTCAAGTCACACTCATGTTTACCACACCTTTGTGAATGGGCAATAATCCATGTGGTGAAGTGAAGGTTTAATAAATTCCTAATTTGTATTTTTTCAAAGCCTGTCAGGTACAGTGCCACACAGCTATAATCCCAGCTACTTGGGAGGCTGAGACAGGAGGATCATAAATGAGAGCCCAGTCGGGGATACAGCTCAGCGGCACAAGCGCCTGCCTGGCAAGCACAAGGTCCTGAGTTTGATTCCTGGTACCAAAAAAAAAAGAGGGCCCAGCCTGGGCAACAGTAAGACTCTGTCTCATAAACAAACAAAATACTCTGTGAGGCTGAGGTAAGAGGGTTGCAAGTTGGAACCCAGCCTGGGCAGTTTAGAGACTTAGCAGAAGTGAGTATGAAAAAACAAGTAAATAAATAAAAAGGGCTGGGGAGGTGTCTTGGTGTCAAGGCCCTGTGTCTGATTCCCAGTACCAAACAAACACAAAAAAACTAAGGAGTTAAAATTCAATCAACTAAAACAACAAAATTTCTAAGGTGCTCAGTGAAATATGAAGATATCAAACCAACACTATCAAAAATGTTTTAGTCTACTAGCATGTTAACATAGTAAAGAGATTTACACAAAATGTTTATCCACTAGGATTGTGGTAAAGTCTGTGTATCTCATCAATGGGGAAAATACACTATTTCTTATTCTAAAGCAATTTTTTTTGTAAACAGTGGTACTTACCCTTCTTCTGTATAAAAATCCTAAGCAGCGGATTGGCTGTTGAAACCGCCTTGTGGTAATTATCGTCGTTATTTATAGGCAGTAAGTCTCCGTGGATGTCTGCATAGCCCACCAGCACGTCAACATTGGGTATCTTATGAACATGCTGCAGTAATCCATAAAACTCCTCAAATTTTCCAGGTTTTGATCTTTCCAGTGAAAATCGACGAAACTCGGCTCCAAACTACAAATATTACAAACATACTTTTTTTTAAAAAACAAAGCTACCCAATCTGAAAATACACGCCACAGAGAAAACAAACACCACAGTATCGGTCTTAATAAAGAAGATGGCCTATTGTCAGAAACCTCATTACCAGCAGGCACCAAGCACTTGAACGGCATGAGAATGCGTCTGCTCACTGTCAGGTCTCTGAGGGGCGCCCTGTAAAGAGATGCAGGCTCCACTTGTCACCGGGGACTGCACCATGACTCAGCTCAAACCTGTGCAAAGCCTGGACTCTGACTCCCTCCATCAGGGGATGGGGTACCACAGACATGTAGATCTTTACCCTGACCAGCAGGAATGTGTCTAAGTTTCCTTTCTCATAAAAAGAAATACATCCTCATGGGATGTGCCAACAATCTATAGCAAAACATACACTAAAAAAAAAGCTTTCAGATCCCTAGCATGAAAGCATGATATAGGCAGAGGTACATCATATAAGAAACAGATCTAAACTGACCGTGATGGTACATGCCTGCACTCTGGGAGGCTAAGGCAGGAGGATTACAAATTTAAGCCTGGGCTGGGGATATAGCTCAGCGGTACAGCGCCTGCCTGGTAAGCATGAGGTCCTGTGTTCAATTCCCAGTACAAAAAAAAAAAAAAAAATCAAATTCAACCCTGGACTGAGCAATTTAGGAAGACCCTAAAAAAGGTGTGTGGGGGTGCTGGGGATGCAGCTCAGTGTGAAGGCCCGGGGTCCAATTCCTGGTATCCCCCCCATACACACACACATAGAGGAGAGGGAAGAAAAGAGGAGGGTGGCCAGGGCGGTGCACGCCTGTAATCCCTGCACTTGGGAGGTTGAGAAAGGAGGACTGCAAGTTCAAGTCCGGCCTGACCTACACAGCAAATTTAAGGCTGGCTTACCTACACAGGAAGACCCTGTCTTTAAAAAAAAAAAAAAGGCTTTTTTTTTTTTAAGTGACAAGAAGCATCTTCCCCAAGTTAATGGAGAAAAAAAAGCTGTATTAATGTATCAATATATGTCCTACAATGATCCAATTAAGCAAGAAGTGTTTATGTGCTTGGCACAGTGCTAGGCCCTGGAGACCAGAAGGCTTGCGCCTGTTTCAGAAGCTCACCAATTAGTGGGAAAAGCAAGTAGTGACTTCAGGGAGCCGCTGAGGATCACTCGGACATAAAGAAAGACACCCTCCATCACATGCCATCTTCATGGCTCTGACTCTGAAGTCTCCTCCCCATTCTCTGCTCTCCCAAGCCCAGGTCTCTAAAATGGCTCTTACTCAACACTAAGGACTGGCTTTGTCCTAATAAACAGACTCATCACTTACTTAGAGCCAGCATGGTGTTCTCTCAAATAGAGATACCTAGGAAGAGTGAATCAGCCTTCCTCAAAGTGTCTCAGTCACAGACATTTGGGAAATGCTATGTAACCTTCATTGCCCGCTTAGGAATCACCGCAGAGACCAACATAATAAACGCTCAGTTGGAGCAGGGTATGATGTACACACTTGTTAATTCCAGTTACTAGAGAAGCTGAGGCCGGAGGACTACAAGTTTGAGGATAGCTTGGGCTATACAGCGAGATCTTGGATCAAAATATCAAAAATGAGCCTGGCATGGTTGACACAGGCTGACGCAGGATGATCACAAATTCAATTCCAGCCATGGTAACTTAGTGAGACTCTGTCTCAAAGAAGGGCTGGGGACATAAGTCAGTGGGAATGCCCTGGGCTCAACCCCTAGTACTGTCTAAATAAATGAGTAACTAAAATAAAGGTCCAGTTAAATGGCTGGGGGTGTAGCTCAGCAGTAGTGTTTACCTAACATGCTCAAGGCCCTTGGTTCTATCCCCAGTGTGGACATGGGTGGAGTTCTCAAGTCCTACAGCTGATTATTTTACAAAATTTTTAGGTTGGGGGTGTAGCTGAGGATAGAACGTGTTTAGCATGGGAATGGCCGTAAGTTCAATCTCTAGCAACACATGCATGCATATGTGTACACACACACACACACACACACACACACACACAGAGTCTGCCAAATATGTTTGACCACTGAACTTGTTTTTCCTCTAAATACCTATTATCGCCAGCAAATACTAATGTCCTGGGGCAGCTGTAAGTATCAAGCTGTGAAAGCCCCTATCATAATAATTAGAACAGTTTACAAATATGCCAGTTCATTTCCCTAAAGGCCCTGTGAGATATCTGGACTCACTGCTTCGGCTCTCGATGTAAAACATCCACCTAGCTGTCCATACCCCACTTTAAATTAGAATAAAAACTCACTAAGATTACCTCTTACCTCTAAAAAAATAATTAGAATAGTTTCCAAAATACATTCCTGAAATATAAACACTAACCTTTGTCAAGAAAATAAGGTGACTCATACCTAAAGCTCTCAAAAAGTGTAGTCACACCTTCAAGTTTCAAAGTAAATAGGAGGGCACGCCCTTCCTATCAGTCAGTCTCACGATGTTATCGAAGTCATAGTTTCTCCTCCACTCTCTTGATTCTGGTATCACAAGACTGATGCTGTTTAGTCATCCTCACTTCCCGATAGATGTGTGGGAATAACAGCTAACAACACTTTACGGCTTGGTTGTCTTGCTAAAGCTTTTGGATGAAAATTTTTTTTCTCTTCCCTGTTATGATAAAAACAATAGAAAACTGTATGGCTTCACGGAGATGTGCCCTTTTGCAAATGTTGGCAAGGGAGAGGAAAAAAAAAAAAACAACCCAAGAGAAACAGTTATGTTTCTTTCAGCAAAACAACAGGATTAAGAGAACTTTTTAGTACATGAACAAAAATACTATACTATAGCCGAGTGATGGCAAACCTTTTAGAGCTTTCAATGATACAAATGCAACACACGTGCCATCGGTCCACCAACATTGATACAGATAAACCTAAGATCCAATCAACAATTACTTACTATGAACTACTTTCAACTTGTTTTTGTCTGGTCTAGTTCTTCCTAGCTATACAAGAATGTGTGTGGACCTCCTTCCTTGAGGATGTGTTGGTATAACCCAGAAATGCACACTTAATTTTAATATTCTATTTATCTATGAATAATAATCAAAAAACTTCATGGCTCAAGGACTATTCTAAGGTTTTCTGAGGCAGGATCTTACTATGTAGCTCAGACTAAGCTCAAATTTGAAGGGATCTTCCTGCCTCAGCCCCTCACATGCTGGGATTATAGACGTGCACCATCACGCCCACCCATTCTAAGGTTTTTACTTATTTACTTTTTGGCAGTACTTAGGATGGAACCCAAGGCTTTGCTAAGTGAGCACTCCACAACTGAATGGTATCTTCAGCCCTACTCCAAGGATATTAAAGGACATCACCACTATTAACTTTCCCAACTCTACTGAAACAATTAGGAAGATAAATTAGTTACCAAAAAAGTCACATGGGCGTTCATATCACAAATTTAACTAGTTATATTTACATTACCCATTATTTTTATTATCACTATCACTTTTACCTTCCCTGAGCAAAAATAAAAGATAATACTGTTTTCACTTTTTTTTGTTGGTCAGTTTAAAAAAATTTTTTTGCCTGGTGTGGTGGTACATGCCTGTAATCCCAGCACTCCAGAGACTGAGGCAGGAGGAGCACAGCAATTTCTGCAAATTGAGGGCAGCTTGGGCTACAAAGTGAGTTCAAGGCCAGCCTGAAATGCATAGTGAAACACTGTCTCAGACAAAAAGTATTAGTATGTATTTGCATTACTTAATGATTAAATTCACTGTAGGGAATTGGTACATGTACATAACACATCTCTATTCTTTTCTCCCTTTCCTTTCCATGCCTGCTTTTACAAAAAAAAAATTTTGCCAGCATCAGATTTAATTATTTTTAAACCTTTACCTAAGTAATTAACATAGAGATAACAGCCAGATGAATGGCCCAAAAAACATCTGAAATACCTAAAACAATCACACTAAATCACAGGCTACTGTTTTCCATGCATAAGAAAAGCAGATCCTAAAACATGGATGTGTGTATTACTTAGTTTTGGTTATGATCTCTTAACGGTCAATTTTATTTAAAAAAAAAAAAAAAAAAGCTATAATATCACTGAAGTAGCATAAATAGAAATCTGTTGAAAAAGACTTGTGCTAAGGGTATAGCTCAATGTAGAGCACTTGCTCAACATCCATGAGTCCCAGGGTTTAATACCCAGAACCAAAAAAGAAAAAAACAAAACCTGTCCACACAGCCAGGTGTGGGGACAGGCACTTGTAATAAATACTATCATTCTGGGAGGCTGAGGCAAGAGGATTCTGAGTTCGAGCTCAGATGTGGCAAGTCAGCAAGACTTTATCTCAGAAAACCAGTCAATCAGACAAAAAACTATCAAGAGCTAGAATGGTGAGACCATATTTCACTGAGTACATGTTCTCTGACTGCCCTGGTTCTACAAGAGGTGGTTCACTAATGTGTAGCGTGGTAGGCCAAATAAATACCATGTACTTTTTAGGGGGGGGTGGAGGGGGTTTCTGGTACCGGGGATCGAATTCACGACCTTGCGCTTGACGGGCAGGTGCTGTGCCACTGAGCTAAATCCTCAGCCCCCTAGTACCATGTACTTTAGACATAAGTATCCGAAAGATTCACAAATCAACAGACAAAAGAGAAAGGCAAAAGCTCCTTATTCCACTCGCCAAGCATTCAAGGTTTCTTATTGCTAGTGATAAACTCTTATTTGAATGTATTTATCAGTGCACCTAGAATCTCTACTGATTTTTTCTATGACAAAAAAATTAGACACTCACTACCAAGATTAGGAGCATAAAATGAACTTCAGGATTATGCAGTATCCAATGTTTTTCTTAACCTCAACTCTCACAAACCCAAACTAGATTTATAACAGCAATTGTATGAGAAGGTTCAATCACTAGGCATGAAAACACGGCCACCGCTATATTACTAGAGGAAAAGCTTTATATATTTTGAGTCATTTTAACCCTTTCGGT